ATTTTTGACCTGGGAACTGAGTTAACTGAAAACCAATGTCAGAGTGTATCTATGTCTGTGTGTGTACGCGTCTCTCTTTGTATGTCTTTCTGAAGAGCAGGAACACCTGTTTTCTGCAAGTTCTTGACCTCTCGCTAGTCACCTGCTCCACAGATCGCCCCGCATCCTAAAGTTGTCCTGCCACGTCGCCAGTTCTCATCTTCCAGCTCCCCAGATACTCCGCGTACTCAAGTTGTACTACCAAGTCGCCAGTTCTCATCTTCCAGCTCCCCAGATACTCAGCGTACTCAAGTTGTACTACCTTCCAGCTCCCCAGATACTCCGCGTACTAAAGTTGCACTACAACGTCGCCAGTTCTCAGCTTCCAGCTCCACAGATTGCTCCGCGTACTAAAGTTGTACTAGAAAGTCGCCAGTTGTCAGCTTCCAGCTCCCCAGCTACTCCGCGTACTAAAGTTGCACTACAAAGTCGCCAGTTCTCATCTTCCAGCTCCCCAGATACTCCGCGTACTCAAGTTGCACTACAAAGTCGCCAGTTCTCATCTTCCAGCTCCCCAGCTAATCCGCGTACTAAAGTTGTACTACACAGTTAAAGTCACCAGTTCTCATCTTCCAGCTCGCCAGATACTCCGCGTACTAAAGTTGCACTACAAAGTCGCCAGTTCTCAGCTTCCAGCTCCCCAGATACTCCGCGTACGAAAGTTGTACTACAAAGTCGCCAGTTCTCACCTTCCAGCTCCCCAGATACTCCGCGTACTAAAGGTACTAAAGTTATACTACAAAGTACACCTCTCGCCTGCATTTCGCGCGCTCGACACGCCCGATCTCCGCAGAGGGTTGCGCGCGCACAGACCCAATCGCACTCTCTCCTGCATCTCGCGCACTCGACACGCACGATCTCCGCAGAGGGTTGCGCGCGCACAGACTCAATCGCACTCTCGCCTGCATTTCGCGCACGATCTCCGCAGAGGGTTGCGCGGGCAGCCGGCAAATCGCACTCTCGCCTGCGTTTCGCGCACTCGACACGCACAATCTCCGCAGATGGTTGCGCGCGCACCGGACAAATCGCACTCTCGCCTGCATTTCGCGCACTCGACACGCACGATCTCCGCAGAGGGTTGCGCGGGCACAGGACAAATCGCGCTCTCGCCTGCATTTCGCGCACTCGACACGCACGATCTCCGCAGAGGGTTGCATTTTCGGTTGACGCTGTTCGTCCCACCCTCCGCCTTTAAGAGAGAATTTATAAAGTGGGGAAATGTTTTTCATTAGGACATCTCCCGTGCTATAGTTTTCCATGCTCACACTTGCCTACTCATTGCATGCTTGCATACTCATTGCATGCTTGCATACTCATTGCATGCTTGCATACTCATCATTGCACTTGCATCATTACACTTGCATACTTACACTTGCATACTTTGACACTTGCATACTTTGCACTTGGATGCTTTCGCTCTTCCACTTACACTGGGGTACGTATAGCGTTCATGTTGTAGTGCAAGTGTGGAAGTGTCAGTGTGTAAGTGTAAGTGTCGAAGTGTCAGTGTTCAAGGGATTTTCCGGAAGACCCCTTCGCAATGCTTTCGGGAACAAATGCACTTTATCCCAATTCCCAAATTCAAGAGAGTGTCATCATGCTTTATCCCAGAATTTACATGGATCTGATGACATCAGGCGGCGTCCTCGGAACATCCGTGAAGCGATGTTCTGCCGCCAAACCCGAGGCACCATGGCCGAGACGATGACACACACCGTGAAGGTACGTTCCTCCTCCTCAGAGATGGGGAGAAGATGGAGCCGTGGAGGCTTCCCCATTCGGGTCCGGCTTCCGAAGGGCTTCCGAAGGCCCACCATTGATTTAGATTGAATCCCGAAGAACCTTGAATTTTCCTATTAAGGCTTTTGCATGTTTCCACTGAACAAAGCCAGGTGAACCAGCTCTTAAATGGTCTTGGAAGGCTATGATGGGGTGATTAGAAGGGAACCCCTTTTTGGGTCTAACGAGTGATCCTTCCCCACGCATCATCCACGCAAGATTGCCCCGGCCCGGGAAGTGTCCGGGCGAAGGGGGGGGCCATAGATGGTACAGTTCGGAAGTTCTAGAAGAAAAGCTAAAAAACTGCCCATGGCCAGCAAACAGTCGTATATGGTACAAGCAGAAATTTGATGGAGACAGAAGGCGGAAGACAGGTCGGTTTGATGTGAGTTGTCCAGCAGGACAACACCTGATCTGCTTTACACTGACGCAGCTCCTCATGAGCCAAAGGCTCCTTAACCTCCCCAGGATAACTGACCCTCAAGCACTTCAACATACACGTCGACCTCCCATGGGCCTGGCTAGAACAGCAAGACTGGTATGCATTTGTAGGGATGTCTAACCTCCAGGACACAGAAATCACAAAACAACAATAGATGCTATATAGATAGATTCTAGACACTCTCTCCAGGACACTATCTATTATAGATTCTGTGAGGGTGTTGAGTGGATTCCCAACACACAAATCATCTCCAACAGTTCGTGGTGCGATCCATGGAGCGAGCGCAGCGAGCGTCTTCTATTCCACATCACATCCTCTCTTTGGGGGGACGAATTAAACATATCTCAACACCATCCCTTTCTGACTCTAAACACCATACCAAGAACACACTCCTGAGGTCTAATGAACATCATGGGCTGAGTTCTTGGTATGACCCTCCCAACTGAAGCCGCTCCGAGGGGCATTAGTGGGATAGACTTCCATCGAGGCAGGCGTAAACTGCGTCAAGCTCCAGTGAAGGCATGTCGCATACCTGAAACGGGACCATATATGGTTTCCGGTTCTTCTGTTTTCCCATGATCTCTTCTATGCTCTTTGTTTGGGTGTAAATGATGATGGTTCATGGTCGTGATGAGGAGGAGGAAGGCTTCAGGAGGCTCAGAGAGGTCGGAGAGGAACCAGATCGGGACGAGAGGAGAAAACCGTGATTCACGGTCTTTCAGTGTGGCAACCGAGCTCTACGCTGCTCCACACACATGCTGAGGTTGTTCCAAATGGACACCCAACAGCCTGCAGGAAAAAAAACACCCAGGAGGAAGTGCTGGTGAACGGAAACACGGGGCCTCCTTCAGCTCAAGGTAACAATCTAAGCATGCCACATCTCTGCAGATCCTCGAGCTAGCCACTGAGTTCGGACCCAACACTGGCACCCTCTGGTTTCTAGTCTTCGAACCCAATCGCACCCACTGGCTCCCAACAAAAGCCCCCACCTTCACGTGTGAACAGATCTGAGTTCAGCGCCATGCTAGTGCCGTGGTTTTGCCCAGAATGTCCCAGAAGATCAGTATAGTTTCCCTTCTGTCTAGAGCTCAAACGAGCCATACCCCATGCTTGCTACTGCTCTAAATGAGCCCCAGCATCAACGGAAGTCTCTCCGTCCTCCGTCGCTGAAAGAAATCTGTGCCAAGGCACTTGTAAGCAATCGTTCTTGGAAGAATCTCCTTATGCAGTGACTCAAGAAGAAACAAAGCCCTAGGGGCCCTACTCACCCAAACGACCTCGCATGGTTTCGAGGATCGAAAACCCTGTGTCCTGGTATTCGGATTTCATGGTCTTCCTTTCGGGGCGATGTCATCCACTTCCATTTTAGTGCCAGGGAGTGTATCCTGTTCGATGAAAAACTGGCTATCCCTCTGACAGACCTTGATTCATTTCTGGGTCAATTTGCTCGAAGTTGCGTTTGTGTTGCTTTCATGTTCCAAAGGTTGAAGGGGGTTGCAGAACAATACTTTACTTGCGCACTGAGCTCCAAAGACTGGCAAAGGCTCAAGAAGGTCCTTGAGCCACGGGCAAAACTTGGTATAACATCTCTTATACTGGAGCGCGCACTCGCTTTGCTGCATTGTGATCCCCATTCCCACTCAACCATCCATTTGGGGGTGTTCGTCACAGCTCCCTTGAGAATGTATACTTGAGCTCCGCTTCGATCCTTCTTTGGGGGTCGAGACCCTCCAAGGCCATCTAATTGGCAGTTTGACACGCAGGTCTACTCTGTGACAAGTGTTGCTTAATGCCTCTTGCCTCCTCCTACTTGTAGCCTTGACACCCCACAATGCACACAAATCGAAACCTCATATTGTCAATATGCTCACCCAAACATATTTATACCAGCACCCCACTGCCAGGTCACCACCTGCCACTTTGAAGTCTCCAAAAGCCACCATGTCGGAGACCTTTTCAATTGAGTGCTGGTGCCTAATGTGTCCCAAACACTCGTCGATGTATGGAATATTTACCTACATTGACCCCGTTTCAACCACCTCAATATGTGTAAGTATATGTATATACTTGATATACAAAAAACATATATATATTATATATATACATATATAGCCACACATGACGTGTCTGGATGTAGCAAGCGACCGGATTCACGATCCATCCAATCCCCCTAATCCATCCACCGAGTTCGACGCTGCAGCTGTCTTAGCGGCCGCTTCGGAGATCCAGTTCACCGCGTGTTCGGAGCTTCCCACCCAGAACCAAAGGCAGGCGATGATGTGGTTCACCTCAGTTCGTGGGGGAAGTCCCAAGCCACTGGGCTGCTGGGCCAGCACCTTGAGAGGGGCCGGAGGCAAAGAAGTTCGGATCCCAAATGCTGGGCACAATGTACCCAGACACGACCCATGAGTAACTGGCATATTTACCGATCAGTTGGGGTAGTGTCAGGGAGTCAAGGTAGGAAAACCTGCCAGTCCCATTAGTCGTGTCTGGGGTAGTAGGGCAGGACGCTAATCAACTCCTGTCAGGTCACAATCATCCGCCTTCAGAGTATTAGATGGCACAATCCCCAATGTCGGTGGTGTATATAGATGGACCCCCATCTGTCTGAGACATCGTGGGGGTTGTACTGGAGGATTGTCCGAGAAAACGTGGAGGGCGAAGGTCCAGGACCTTCTTCAGATGCTGGAAAGGATCGTACCAGGACCTTCCGATCATCTGGGTGTCCTGGCGGGACTACCCCCAGCCCACTACTTGGAGATGATGCAGACAGGATGGTACTTGTATGGTCAATATCTTCCAGTCCCATGCAGATTGTTGGGGGTTTGTGTCGTACCATGGGATGGCCTCTTGGACTGGCAGAAGTCGTCCTCTTGAACCGTGCCCCCAATCGAAGAACCATCAACCTGGGGGTTGGAAGCTGCACTTTGGCAGAGGAAGCACCCTCTGATGCCCGAGAGGAGAAGAGCCAAAAAGCAAGTGGTGAAGGAGAACTGCAGTAGCTTCACACAATAATTGAATACCTGTACAATTCTGCACCCTGAGTTGCTATGTAATCGATTCCTGTTCTGATGGCCTGAGATGTCAAGCTTGGATATGACATGAATGCGTGGCTTGTAGGACCCCTAACCAGGATGAACCAGAATAGTAATCAACATGACACCGCCACCTTACCAGACTATGCGTCACTTGGGCAGATTTTGCCCAGTTGGACTGAACGATTGCTCCTTCAAGGCTTTCCGCGACACTGGGAAACCACCGCCATCCTCATGCTCAGTGGTGAAGCACACCGTCAGTGGCTTGACCAACACCGAAGTGGAAGAAAAAAAGAATAAACACAACAACGACGACGACGACGACGACGACAACAACAACAACAACATCAACAACAACAACGAGAACGAGAACGAGAACAACAACAACAACAACAACAATTACTACTACTACTACTACTACTACTACTACTACTACTACTACTACTACTACTACTACAACTACAACTACAACTACAACTACAACAACAACTACTACTACTACTACTTCTACTACCACTACTACTACACCTACCTACCTACCTACCTACCTACCTACCTACCTACAGTACCTACTACTACAGAGGACCACCCAAATGGACCCTGAAAAAACATGAAAAAAGCAACACTGGTGAGACGATTCTCATCGACCACCCGCTGGGGGTTTTCCAGGTCCATCTTCGTCTACATCCCCAGCAGCCACCAGCCGACCTGCTTTGTCGGCCGATTGGACCCTGAGGGGTCGGAGTTGTGAGACGAAGAGCGTAAGATCCCCCCAACTATTCATGTCAGGTCGAAAAGAACCACCAAAGCAGTGATTTCACTGCCGAACATCAAGAACCCACTAAAACACGATGCACATGGTCAGACCAACAGAACCACGCCGCAGCACCCGCACTTCTGGTCTGAGCGACACAAAGGATCAAAGCCAAGAGCTTCACAATGCCCACCTTTGTTGGGAAAGATGCTCCGTGCTCGGATGTGCTCAGATGTGCACGGTGCTGCTCAGATGTGCACGGTGGCGATGTCTGGTGAGATGACTTAGTGGGAATGTGGTAGAATCTGGTGGAACCCACCCCACGAAAATCTCAATTGGAAAAGAAAGAGAATGTCTTCCATGCGATGTGCTGATGCATGCTGATGCGATGGTGCTGAGACCAAAGGATCGAAGTCAGATGGAATTCCGGGTTTGCCATTTCTCAGAAGGAAGATTGAATAGCAGGGCATGGGAATCTAAGGGAATCCTGAAGCTCAAAAGATCCAAAAACAAAAACACATCGTCTTCGGTTGGTGCTCCGATCTTTCCACCTACTTAAGGGATAATGAACTCGCACATGGCAGTTCCTATTCCAGCCAGTTTCGTGCTTTGAAATCATCAACCGATCCATTCGCTTTTGAAGATCCCACGGCCCTCATCTAGCTATAGGCCCGTCTGCGCCTTGGACCCATCAGGCAACGGTGGGGGCCGTTGGTCCGGACGAGGTGTACCGCCCCGGACGCCGTTGGTTCCCAGCCTGACCCCGGGCCCCTCAAAGACCCCCTGTCGAGGAGTGGTTCGGGTCCAAACACCCCGAAGGACCCGAGGAAAACCGGGGATCCGGCCCCTACTGAACTCACGGAGGGTCTGGTGCCTTCGCGTCTGGCGTGGAGGACAACCGTCCCGAAAAGAGGTTTGCTGTGTGCCAGGCCACGATGATGATGCAGTGCTCCGAATGGATCGTATCCAACAGCTCCTACCCAAGGAGACGGGACGTGAGGTGCCCGCCGGCGCCGCGCTGTCTTGCTTGTTGTCGCTCGCTCAACAGCACGCCATGAGACATGTGAGAGAGACTGCGACAAGGACTGGAAAGGGTCCGCCGCCGTCATACATTGGAGACGGTGACCCTCAAGTCCCAGGTTTGGGAGATGTTTGGAGGGTTCGCTCCACCACTTTCGTTCGGCTGAACGCCAACGCCGCGGGCCGGGAAGGGACCTTCTACATCAGCCATGAAACGCCGAGCGCCGCCGCCCGCCCGTCGGGCGATCCTGTAGGATGCCGCCGCCCTTGAGAACGCGGATCAGCCGGAAGACGCGCAGCACTCGGACGCCCTTGCCCAAGCGTAAGGCGCTGATGCCTGCGCCCAATGGGATCCCGTGGGATGAGGGACGGTTGGGTATATGTTTGGGTGTGAGGGGCAACATGTGTGGGTATATGTGCATCTCTGGGTGTAGGGTATGTGCTTGGGTGTTTGGGTATGTTTGGGTGTGAGGGGAAAACACGAGACCTGGAGCTTCCATGATCTTCCTGCCACATGATCTTCCAAGACCTTGGATGCCTAAATTGGGATCCTTTTGGCTGGTTCTTTAGATGAAAAGGCCAACACTTGACTGCGCAGCTGGCAGATCCCGTGTATGGCAAGTTTGGAGCTTCATAGCGGGTTCCACAGTGAGTTGGGGGAGTTGATGATGTTGATGCGCACAGTGGATTCTACTCACAGGTTCATTGCGAGCGCTGGAGTGCTATAAATCGCTTGATCTGAACTTGACTTCAGCTCTAGCCCGGCTACTCTTCTGGATCACATGGTGTGCAAATTCTTAAGCACCCGCAACTTGCTAAGCGCGTCTTCCACTACAGTCTTTTGGAAGTGTCCGCCACAAAACTCTTGCCACTGGCTATGGTTGGTGGGAATCCCCATCCGCTATCTACTGGGGGTCCACTACTAAACCACAGGCCTTGGGGTAACTTGTGCCATGGAACCTCTGAAACTGTACCTGTTGTGTTGGGTGGCTTTGGAAGGCTACACAAAGACCCCACCGTGGACGCGGGCGCCTCCCACGTTCTTGGTGTTGTTGACCTTGGCTGCGATGTTTTAATTCAAGGGTCCCTGCCAGTTCCAAAAGCTCCTGCACCGGGATTAGGATCTACAATGTGATGTTTTTCCATTTGATTGATGGTTGCCTGGATTATATATATATATAGTAGGTCTTCCTTCTTGAACAACAATGCTTTCAAATGTCTTTTGGCAGTACTGGGACAAAAATGAAGGGCGGTCTAAGTTAGGAGTAAAAGGGTCACTGGAGATGGCCCACCACATGGCACGACCGGTACGATGCCATCTCATGATCACCATCTTCACCCATTCACCTCGGCCGCCCTCCTGAGAAACCCATCCTGTCATGCTCTTTTCAAAAGAAGGCACCGATTCCACACACAGCCAGGTGTGGCACTCGCCTGGATTGAGGCAACGATGCCCAATTCCAAGGTACCAGCTGCTTCCAACGGGTCACCAATGGAAAACCGTACTAGATCCTACTATATATATATACCAGGACCAGACTCTACAGGTCCAACAACCCTCAACTAATAGCCTGGCCAGGAGAGTGCTGGTGTAGTACACTTAGGTCTCCAGACAGGGCACCCAGGGGGCACCCAGGGTCACCCAGGTCCAGGATGCTCCCGGATGCTCCAGCGTGCTCCAGCGCTTGTCTGACTTGTACCTCCGAGCGGCCACCTCCATGATGTTCAAGACCCAATCCACTGAGACCACCGTGAGGTCGAACCAGAACCATCCTGGCGCCGGGTGTTGATGGGGTTCAGAGGTCAGCTCTTTGGTGTGGCCGAAAAAAAGGAAAAGGCAGTCCGTCTGGGGAAAAGGTGCTTTCCCATCCAAAAAGAATGCCTCACGAGAATATGCAGCAGTCATTGAAGAACACCTTCCACCTTCTCACAAACACCTTCCACCTTTAAATCTGCTGCATGCTGCATGCTTCCATGAAAACTCTTCGCCCCAAAGAAAACGCCACAAAAGGCCACCTATCTCACCACCCCCCCGGGTGCAACCCAAAGCGCGGTAACTCTCTCGCGCCCAAGCTGAGCCCGGGCTCAGCGGCTCAGCCCGGCCCCGCAAAAGCCCACCGTCCCAGCACTCCCACCGCCTCGAAGGTACAAGCGTGCGATCACCCGGACCTTCATCTCAATGATGCCGCGCCTGACCGATGTATCGCCGATTCGTATGGCCGGACAGCACGAGTGGCCGCGAGCGGCCGCTCGTTCCATCCATTTCGCGGTCTCGTCTTTCGAGGTACATTTCTTTCGCCAAGGTACGAGAGGTGTCCCACGAGGAGGCTCATGGGAATGTCCACCGCCCAGTAGACACCTGAAAACAAGCGGTGCACCCCACCCCCTGAAAAACAAGAAGTGAGCCATTTCCAACCTTCCCACCTTCCAACCACCAACCAATGCTAATTTTCGAGACGGATTTTAATAGTCTGAGTATGTCTGAGTCTCTACCGAGCAACCAGCTGTTTTACTCAGGATATTACACGCTTAAAAATGCAGGTCGTTCCCATGTGTCAAACTCATCGAACGGAAGGCGGTCAGAAGGGGAGTGACGTCATGGTGTGTATGTATAGACCCTAGGGCTCCTGTCCCACGTCCTCAGGTTCGGTGCTTAGACCCCCCCTGGCACCCACCCCTGTCCCATCTTCGAAATGGAGGTAGGCCCGGAGCCCAAACGGGAGACTTGCTCATCCCATGGACGGTTGGGGTTCCAAAGGCATGATTGAGCTATTCCCATGCGCTCCAGGCTTCGCGTTGGGGTGCACTCATGTCGTTCAGCCAGACCGCTGTTTCGCTTGGATTTGTGCTACCAGTGAAAACATTAACTTGGATTTAGGAACCGGGGAAAAATATATACACAAAAAATTGCCTCAATTAAGATGCCTTAAGCAAAACCAGGTTATAAACCTATTCCCTAAACTATATATAGGGTTGGGGATTCACCCATTGAATAAGAATCACTTAGAATCACCCTACCAGCACTCGCCTCTACAGGTCTCCTCTGGTGACTTTTGCAGACGTGGTGTGTCTGGCAGGTTTCGGGTGCTGGTAAGCAAGACCAAGGTCATGGTCAGTTTGGCTGCACCCGGGTGTGCCACTCAAGCCATATGCATTTAACCGATGGAGAGTGTCCGCTAAAAACCGTTGCACTCTTCTACGTGGAGTCAACCGCCGGAAGGGGTAAAGCAAGACGGGGAGTACACGGTAAAGCAATCAGGGTTTGTTTCAAGTCTTCCATGAACCAAGGCACATGCATTTGCAAGAGATCACAAACCCTGATTTTAAGTGATACCCTCATATACCCTCGCTGAAACAAGCAGGGGAAGTGGACAATGGGAAAGAGTATGACATCTTCTACACGCAGGGGATGGTCCACTTTCACGTTTTGTTGAAGGGATGGTACAAAAATAGAACTACGAGGACCTCATGTTGGATGCCACACCCTGGCTCACTCCAAAGGAGTATCACACAGAAACCCGTCATCCAAGAAGTCCATCCCCATGTTCCTCTTCACCTTACTTGTACCCACATAGACCGATCATCTGTGTGTCCCACTTTTGACAAGCCCAAACAATATGCCAACCTTCTTTCGCCCGCCATTGATTCATGACACACCCAATCGCGAACAACCGTAGCTTTAATCAGGATGTTTCATGACAAACCCAAGTCCACCGAACTCCTTTCATGGTCTTCTCGGCCTTCGGCTTCAAGGCTCATCAAAGAGAGCCACCCACCCTGTCGGCCGAAACCGTTCCATCGGTGTCCCATCGTGGACAAATCACCCTCCGTCCTCCCCTCCGCTGTCGTCCCATCCGAACAAAGCCCCCTCCGTCCGCACCCCATCCGCTGCCAGGCCACTGGACATCCAGCCCATGACCTCCGTGAAGGTACTCCCCGGTGGATCAAAGACCTGGCGCCCGGTACTCCGCGAGAGAGGCCCCCCGTTGGTCGCCGCCGGTGTTGAGGCACCACAAGATCCACTCACTCACCCATGAGGTCAGTTTACCCTAAGAATCCGAGTCCGGGCTCTCCGCAGAAAGGTCGGACCACCGAAAACGCAGGGGTCCGGACCCGAACCAAATCCATCCAAACCGTATATATATGTCTTTGAGGGTGCGGATTCTTATACTGTAGTAGACTTGATCATACAGAAACACCACTGTATCAGGTCAAGGACCACGTTTGGACTCGGGTCCGACTGGACCTGTAGGGGATGCTCACAGGATGGGGGGTCAACACTCAGACTTCTTACTGTAATTCGATCTTTGGCAAATTTGCTAAGATCTTAACCTAATTACCCTAAGAATCCTTATGGCCCTGATGGGCCCTGGCTCCTGCCGAAACGCAGGGGTTGGATCTTCTCCACCTACACCACCAAAAAGCAGGGGGTGCAAGGACCCAAACGACACCTTTTCCCATTGGTGGAAGGGACGGCCCAGCGGCCCGCGCAATTGGCGCGCACGCCGCGCCGCACGCGGCGCGCACGCCGCGCCGCACGCGGCGTTTGTCTGCCCCCCGATGCCGGACATCGACCTGTTCTTGTTTCGTGGGGGTGTTCCCTATATTACCTCCAATTGGGGTGATTGAAAAGGAGTCAATCAATACATGTCATGTTGTCATATGGTGCCAGACTCCTCGTGTCTGGGAACGGTGTTGGCTGGACTGTCTCCAAGACGAGATTCTCCGCCCAAAGCATCAATGCCCGATCGAACGACCACTGTTCGAGTAAAAACGGTTGAAACTTAGATTATACATCCAAATAAACACTCCATGTATGGCTAATATTTATATATGTAGGAGTGGTTGAAACGGGGTCACTTTAGGCAGATATTCCATATATACGCCTGCATAGTGCCAGGAACTCACCGGGAATGAGTTGGTCTTTGAGACCCCAATTCTTTGGCAGGTCGAATCCACTGAATGAATCCAACTCTCCACCAATCCCACCAAACACCACCTTCCAGCTGCTTTCGAAATCAGGGCCACCAGGCCGGACCACCCAGCCCCTTGCTTATATGGGTCTCCATCGGACTTTGGACACCCATTGGTGGTAGGTTAGTCTTAAAATCTTTGAAGAAGATCTCTCACTGCAAAGTTCATCCCTTTACAAGTTGCCGCCAACAAGACTGGCGCTTTTGGAAGCCACGCCACACTCGACTCGCTTCCCACCACGTCTTCCCACTCGTTTCAGTCACCGCCACGACGTCACGACGTCGACGCGACGCCCGGTTTCGCCTGCATGGGAAGCCAAAAGAGGTCATAGACGATCAAAACCAAACCAAAGACCTGCCACTCCAGTCTGTTCCGCCGGAAGGGCGAGGGGCTCTGCGCTACCCTTAACGGGGATGGAAGCAAGGGGCACTGGTGAAGCAGTGGTGCAGGTGGGGGGAAAACAAGAGCGCTTGAAACTGGAGTGCACACCTGGATCTTACATGTGCATCATGCCGGAATTGGCATTCTTTTGTCTCCAGCCAAGTTCGGCAGTATGTTTTGGATAGACTTGGCATCCCAGCACCCTCCAACAGACTGCTTTAGGACCCTCACAGCTGGTTTCTGAGCACCGGAATGGTCACTATAGGAAGCACCGGATCGAACAGAGGATCGACCGGAGTCCAGCAGTGTCAGACCTACTTGAGCCAGACGGTGAGTGCGTCTGGGTGTTCGTTTTGCCGCTGAAGCCGAGTGCGTCTCAGACATGGATGTTCAGCAGGTTGGTCCGGTTGGTCCAAGAGTTTTGCGGCTCTTGTGGACTCATCATGTCGGCAAAGAGGCTATTCAAGGTTCATGTGAGGCTCATGCGCAGACACAAAAACATTCAACTATAGTGTAGGAATAGACAAAACTGACAAAGATCCATGGGACACTCTCCATTCTCCAATGAGTGGTTTTCACATGTGGTGACACCATCATCCTGCTGATTTATGATATTTATGCATTGCTTGTTGAAGATTGTTGATGCTTACCCTGGCAGGATAGACCCCGGACTTTCCTGGCAGAATCATAGGCCAATGAAATCGACTCCAATGAGACAAAAGAAGGATCTTCACGACTGTTCCCTAGGATCATCGCAACTTCTAAGGCATCCTCGGACACACGAACGATGCGGTGAAACTGCTGCCATCTGCGGACAACTTGTGAGAATGATGTCAACATCTGTCCCAAACATCCTGACTGGATGTCCCAACCAGTCCGACACGTTCGTCGGTGTAGATGAAGGTCCTAATTTCTGTGAACCGGCATACACAGGAAGAGGTTTTAGATGGTTTTAAAATCCACATGGAGAACATTGTTCTGATAAGCACCATGTTACGTGAAACTGACTGGAAGCTCTCTCTCTCCCCCCACGGTTCCCCGCGGTGCTCGTTCGCCTCGAACGCCATCCGCTTGGGACTGCTCGGATCCAAGACCAGCCTGGAGGGCCGGATGTCTGGGCAGACCACCCAAAGACTCCGCACTGGGGGTTGCTCGCATGGCAGGGGTCAGAACGGAACAGGGGTCAGAACGGAACAGGGGTCCGGACCCGAAACCCGAAACCCTTCCGTCCGAGCTCGGGCCCGATCGGTCCGGAGCCCTTCGTTCAGGTTCCGATTCGGAATGCATTTTCTTCATGTTCGGTGGTCAAGCAGGGTAGCCCTGTTCGGTGGTCAACGCACTGTCATTTAGCAGGCCTCAGATGCAACTAATTGATTTATTTAATTTGACTGCTTTTGCATTGCTTCAGTTGGCTAGATCAAACTTATCCAAGCACTGGTTCCAGCAGACTCAATGCTACATCACCTGTTATTCTTTCCTGAAGAAGAGTATACAAGCATAGACCCCAAACAGTTTCAAAACGATTCGTTTTGACCAATACTAGTCAAAAATCGATTTCTTGGCACGCCCTACTTTCACCCCAAGAGCAAACTGCTTCATCAATGAATTTTTGTCGGCATTGACATCGCTATTTGTTCGGCCACAGAGACCAGCCACAGAGTTCAGGGGCGCGGCCAAGACAAGGACAAGAGGAGGACAAGAGCCCAGTAAGCCGTCCATAGCACACGAGCCCGTAGCACACGAGCGTGCGCGCGCTCGCCCTGCTCTCTCTCTCTCTCTCTCTTTCTCTCTCTCTCTCTCTCTCTCTCAGTTTCTCTTTCTCTGTCTTTCTCTCTGCAGAGCGCGCTGTGAGAGCGCCTTTCTGGAGTTCAGAGCGCGCGCGCTCGCCCTGCTGTCTTTCTCTCTCTCTCTCTCTCTTTCTTTCTCTTTAAGCTTCGCTTTCTCTGTTTTTCTCTCTGCAAGGCGCTCTGAGCGCGCCTTTCTGGAGCGTATTTCAGAGCGCGCAGGAGCGCGCCGTCCATAGCACACGAGCGCGCGGAGCTCGCCCTGCTGTCTTTCTCTCTCTCTCTCCCTCTCTTTCTCCTTAAGTTTCTCTTTCTGTCTTTCTCTCTACAGAGCGCGCTCTAAGCGCGTCTTTCTGGAGCGTGAGCGCACCGTCCATAGCACACGATTGCGCGGGCGAGCGCTCGCCCAGCTGTCTTTCTTTCTTTCTTTCTTTCTTTCTTTCTTTCTGTCTGTCTGTCTGTCTGTCTCTCTCTCTGTCTCTCTCTCTCTGTCTCTCTCTCTCTCTCTCTCTCTTTAAGTTTATCTTTCTTTGTCTTTCTCTCTGTAGAGCGTGCTCTGAGCGCGCCTTTCTGGAGCGTATGTCAGAGCGCGCGCGCGCGTCACAAAGCCCAGCCACACAGCCCAGCCGCAGAGTTGACAGAGTTCAGGGGCGCGGCCAAGAGGAGGACAAGAGGAGGACAGGGCCTGGAAACAGAGTCCAGCCACAAAGCCCAGCCACAGAGTTGACAGAGTTCAGGGGCGCGGCCAGGAGGACAAGGCCTGGACACAGACCCTCGCCACAGAGTTGACGGAGTTCAGGAGACAAGGCCTAGACACAGAGCCCAGCCACAGAGTTGGACAAAGAGCCCAGCCACACAGCCAGCCACAGAGTTGACAGAGTTCAGGGGCGCAGCCAAGAGAAGGACAACAGAAGACCTGGACACAGAGCCCGGTGCGGCCAAGAGGAGGACAAGAGGAGGACAAGGCCTGGACACAGAGCCCAGCCACAGAGTTGACAGAGTTCATCAGAGGCCTGGACACAGAGCCCAGCCACAGAGTTGACAGAGTTCAGGAGGACAAGGCCTGGACACAGAGCCCAGCCACACAGCCCAGCCACGTTCAGGGGCGCGGCCAAGACGAGGCCAAGAGGAGGAGGACATGGCCTGGACACAGAGCCCAGCAACACAGCCCAGCCACAGAGTTGACAGAGTTCAAGGGCGCGGCCAAGAGAAGGACAACAGGAGGGCAAGGCCTGGACACAGAGCCCGGCACGGCCAAGAGGAGGACAAGGCCTGGGCCCAGCCACAGAGTTGACAGAGTTCAAGAGGAGGAGAAGAGGAGGACAAGGCCTGGACACAGAGCCCAGCCACAGAGCCCAGCCACAGAGTTGACAGAGCGCGGCCAAGACGAGGACAAGAGGTGGACACAGAGCCCAGACAGAGCCCAGCCACAGAGTTGACAGAGTTCAGGGGCAAGAGGAGGACAAGGCCTGGACACAGAGCCCAGCCACAGAGCCCAGCCACAGAGTTCAGGGGCGCGGCCAGTGAGTGTGGCCACCTCTTTTCTTTCTAAGATAGAGCCCCAACAGTAAACTGTTTGGGGAAAAACAAAACTACACGCAACACAAAAACCTGACTTGGATTTGTTTAAGGAGCCGGGAAATACATCCAGAAGGCGATTCACTCAAAACAAACTCAGTAAACCAGGCTGAACTATGACAGCACCACTTTTCAAAATGATGCCCCCGTCCCTTTCCAGCTGCCAGAAGCCAACCTGTCGAGGATGCGGCACAGGAAGCACTCGTCGTCGTCGTGCAGGCTGAGGTGTTTTTGGGTGTTGCTTGTCACAGTCCTTCGACACCACGGTCTGGGCCCTGGTCACTCTGGGAGTTGCTATCTGCTGTTGGGCTGCACAGCTGGGTTACAGTCGATTACTTTTCTTGCTGGCTGGAGCTTGTTGGTGCATCTCACCTTCCAGTGATCAACAAGAACAATGCCCGTTCGCCTTCCAAGACAATTGAACAATGGTTGACCTCGTTTTGTTGTGCAAAATCCATCAAAATCCTAAATAAAATGAAGCTTGTTTGGTCTCTCACTCGCGGACGATCACACGCATCTCACGAATCCTTTCATACAGGTGATTCATGGGAGTTTCCAGAGATTGGGGACTAACATAAAAACGTGCAACAGCTGGTCGATCAAGGTTGGGTGGGACAAAGATTGAAACCTGCCAATTTGCAAGCATCTGAATTCTGGTATCAAACGTGTTATTTGCAGAGTGCTTCTTCTCCTTCGTCAGTGGAATGTCGTGCTTCGTGAGATTTACATGGATCTCACTTGGCAGCGGCCTTTCTTGTGAAGATGATGGCAGTCTGCTTCACGTTTGGCGACTACCTGGCTACATCCATCGGCACTGGCAGATAAGGCGCGTGCTTGTTCCACATGAAACTAGCCCCGGAGCTTCTCATCTGATCCTTCAACCGCGGATCCCACACGAAACTCTGGGCCGTAGGGGTTGTGAGCTCTCCTCCTCCAATCAAATAGCCCTTGGTATTGGGGTGATCCAATAGGGCCTTCAATCCAAGCGCAACCTCCTGTAACAACATCTCCGGCCTCAACACCTGCTTGAAGAAAGAAGCATGGCCACTTCTTGGTGCTGACAGAATTCTCCTCTCACCCAGGACGCTTCTCAAACAAGGCCCAGAACCCTTTGCTGCTCGGCACTCCGATCCTCGGATGGAATGCTTTGAAGAGGGAGATGTAGTCCTGCTGATTATGTTCCCAGCCTCTGGCGCAATGAAAGATTTCTCAAAAAGCCTCTTGTCTAAAACAGGTGGCACATGACCAAGGTGGCTCACTGAGTTCAGCATAGTCACGTTCCGGTCGATCGCCGGCTCCGTTGGCCGCGGACGGACGACGCGGTGCCGAGTGTAGCCCCAACAACCTTTTCTTTCTTTCCTCGTTGCAATGATTTGACACCGAGGCACAACTTGGTTGGTCCCAAATGCAGGAACACTTTACAGCGAGAAAACACGAATGCACGGAAGGCACGAGGGCAAGAAACTAAGGGTGTGGCCGAACGAAAGCAAAGCTGGTTGCGGGTTCAAGTACATCAAAGCATTTAATTACGAATTTGAAAAAGCGGTGGCGTCGTCAACGTGAAGGACAAATCGTTCCGAGCTTTCTTTGTGCTAGTCAGCGTGTTCTGAAACCAGCGTGCAGCATTAAGGCCACCTACAAGTGAAGGCCGGGCCGCAATGCAAGGCTTTACTGCAGAAAAGCCTAATCTGCGTGGTGACAAAGCTTTGGTACAATATGCGAAGGCATGGCAATGACCCCTTTTCAAACAAGCATTTTGAAACAAGTTGCGAAGGTGCTAATGTCCCGTCCCAAAGTGGGAGAGACGTGATACACAAGCGGATTGTGTTTTGAAGCGTACCTAGCAGTGACCCCACACTTCTTAGTCCCAGGAATGAGTGTTGGGGCTAGAGTACGTGCGTGCGCAATGAAGTCGATATGCAATTCGCACCAAGGGATATCGTTTTCAGGACAAACAGGCTCGCCATGAGGCCAGCGCAGCAAAATCTCCCATCAATAAGGCATCAATAAACGCTGTTGGCCAGTTGTCTTGTGTTTGACAGACCTGGTCGCGTTTCTCCCAGTCGATGTCAAGAATAAGTACATTGTCTGTAGATGAGAGGGTTAAGTGAAAACTTTTTATCCTTGTCTTCGGTGAGTGAAAAACGATGGTTCGCTGCAGAAACCAAGAATTTGTGATAATTATGCAAACGAGCTCGTTGGTCAATGAACTTGTTTAAAGTTTGCTTATACAGTCTTTGGCAAGGTGCTCTCAAAAGAAGCACGGATTTAGCTGCGCGGTCAACTTGGTGGTTTTGCCAGCACAATTCGCGAATTGGTTCTTGCAGCTTGTCCAAAGTTGCATGCGCTTGGATCTTCTCAACATGAACATGTGCTCCGCGATCTGCCAAGAGATCTGCAATACACTTCCACAAATTTTGATTGCTCCATGAGGGAGGAACAACGTAACCGTGAGTCTGCAAAAGACGAATCTTATCTACGCAATTCTGCTAATCAGTGTAAATGTGTGAAGCAAAGAACTTTTCCAACGCCAAAATGATCCCATACAATTCCCCTCTTGCGCTGGATTGCTCAAGTCCTGGTACTAAGGAGGCCTGAATATTTTTAGAAATAAATGGGCCTTTTTTGATGTTCAAAGCTGCGGCTGATAAACGAATTAATAAACTTTTTGGGTCAGTGCATGTCCCGTCTGTGAAAAGAGTAAAGACCGTAGGATCCCTTCGCGGCTTGGTGATCCGCAGCTTGCGGTTTTGCAGTTTTTCCCATAGTTGCCAAACACCATGAGGCACATATTCGAGACCAAAATCGATTGCTATGGGGTGCATGCGCTCTAAAGTTTGACGTGAAACGGTGTGAGCCATGCAATAAGGAGTGAGGGCAGTGCATTTTAAACGGTGCGAGCGACTATCTAACTGGTCACAAAACGGGCACATTGGGGAGATATTGAAACTATACTTACAAATGATGTCATTCGTATATGCAGCACCAGGTTTGTTGACCATGTTCAAAAACTGCTGTTTAGGGTAGCTAGGCTTACAGAACAACCTTCTGAGTGTGAGAAGGGCGTTTAATACAATGTTGAATTCAGGATCAAGGTTGTCTTTTCTGGTCAACATGAGGGAAAGATAAGGAGATTCACAGGTTCGACCTGCTCCTATTGCCTTTGCTGTTGCTGCACGAAGTGATCTTAATTCACATCCATTGGGAACAACCACCTGAGATGCGTAGGCAAGCGTTGCAAAAGCTGAGGCTCTGACTAGTCGTGGCTTGTGGATTTTGGCGACGCCACATTGACGAATTTTACGAAGCTTTGCGTATGTCTTGAGGATTCTAGCCTTAAAGACTTTCTTCGAAACCTTTTTTGTATAGGTCATGTCAAAACCCAGCTCTTGTTCTTTGTTTTATAGGAACAGGTTGCCCTTGCAGCGCTTGCAGCACAATTCCAACCAACTCTTTGCGTCCACTCTGTTCAGTGGACCAAAGCCAAGATTTGTCACCTGCAAGAGGAAGTTTAAAAAGGTAGCAATGAGTTGACCAATGATCAATGCTGCCGAGCCCGCAACCGCATGAATCGAACTCCATTGGGGGAAGATGTCCGACTCTTTTACACCGGAAGAGACCTGCTGTTCAGCAGCCGTAAATATCCTCCTACGCAAGACATCAATGGTTGATCCAGCCTGTTCATACTTCTCTGTAGGCATGCTTCTTGTGAAGCACCCAAGAGTTGCGACTTCCATCAACAAAAATACGATTCGAAGGGCAATGCGTGACAGAACAGTCGTTTTCATTGATGACCCAAGCTTGTCAATAAGCTTTGTCCCAAGGGTCTCCAGATTGAATATAGACGGAGATATCGTCGAACCTCCAATCGTTGAACATAGCAAAGCCGCTTCGTCCAAATTCTGCTCGTCCAATGATGGAGGGCAATCATGATCAGGACAACTTATAGCGATTGGAACTGCTTGCTTCCTAGATGCTGCACCAGATATATCTTGAGCAGGCTGAGGTTTTGTTGTCAGCCCACCAAATGACTTTGCAAGTTCTGAGATCTTGATGCCAGCAGCTGCATCAGCTCCAGAACTGCCAACCTCCAATTGTTTCTTGATCGCATCGCGAATACGACTAGACATTGTGAGATGTCTTCTCGTATGAGATCGAAAGGTAGATACTCTGAAATTTTAAATCAAAGAACCTTGAGCCAAAATGGCTACAGAGACCTGCTAGCTGCTAGAGGTTGCTGATATAGCCATCCAAAATTGTTGTTTTGATTTGTTTTGACATGATTGATACGTCGCATTTCGGGGAGCTAGCAGAAACATGTCGACTGGAGTTGGAGCCACCAAAAGAAAGCCCCAAGGCCACCATCCACCAAAATCTCCCTTCCATTCAAGTCCTGGCCACTTTCGACATCGTGCCAGAGTTCTTCTTTCTCCAAGCCAATGCCAACTTCAATGGCGCTTGCCTTGGACGAGAAAAGGCGCCGCCGAGGTTCGCAGATCGGGAGGACATGAGGTGGGCAAATCAGGGGAAGTCATGAAAAGTCATTGATGTCACCAAAACCGGCAATACGTTTATATGTCAAAAACCCGGTTTTGACCCCAAAGCCGGGTGGCCAGGCTACCTTTAATGGTGAAAATTATTTTGAGAAATGGTGTTTGCCAGTAAACATGCAAGCGCAAAGTTAAATAGAGAAAATAATATGTTGCGAAAGGGAGCAGGAAGGCATTCGCACAAATGCATAGCAACGAAGGACATGCGAATGACATGTGGAGCTCTTGAAAGTGGACGATGTCCGGCTGAGTAGCAACGCTGAGGCAACCCTTCAAAAAACTCTTGATCGACAGCGCCGCGGACCAAGTAAAGCTCGTTTTCAAAAACCGTGACAATTGGCTTCTCGACTGTTGGAAATGGGAAACTGTTCTTCACAACGACGGTTCCTGAGACTTTGAGTTGAGTCCTGAGACTTTGAGTTGATCCCTTTGTTCGGTACATGTCAAATTTCTATACCAAAACACAGCCCACGGAATATACTCCCAGACGCTCCGTTCACAGGCTGACCGGTCCCTCAAAAGCGGATTTGAGACCCCTCCGACCCCTCCAGATGAGGGTCCAGGGTCGCGTTTGGGCTATACGGATCGACTAATCGCCAGCTTCGCCCAGTGACGTGTCCAACTGATCGTTGCGTAGACGAGCCAAGGCCTGCGGTCTATAGCGGCCAAGGGTGCAAGTTGGAAGCTATTCCATTAGCAGCAGTAAGAGTGGATGATGATGATTAGTAAATGTCTTGTTAGTAAATAGTGATAACTGGTTACTGACAGCTACAGGTGACAAACCCAAGCTATCCCCTAGGCTTCTTGGCCACCTTTTGGGATCATGGTTTTTCATTGAAGACCCAAGGCTTTTACACTACAAAACCAGGTCAACTGTTCTTGTAATGGTCTGGAAGGTGAACGGGCATGGAGTCGGGCGTGGGCCCTGAAAACCACTGGTGCAGCTAGAGGAAGACCGTCTTGCGGGGCGCCATGCGATGGTCAGGGTCCATGTGACTTTGTGCCATGCGTATATACACCAGCACCTCCCAGGAACTGGGTGAACTGTTACTTTTTTATATGTTCCATTCCAATAACCACCCAGCAACTGGGTGGTGCTGGTATAGATACGTTGGATACATGTGGAACATCTGTAGGCAAGGAGTTCACGCCGAGAACTGATGTTTTTGTTCTTAAGCGTCCAGCTCCACAACTGAGGCTGTGACCTCAGTAAAGGAGTGAAAGCAAACTTAAACTATTCCTCAAGTCTTCCTCGGAGCTGGGAGATGATGCATTTCCACACCCAGTTTGGCACCTATGCTAATTACTATAAACCATGTCAGCCCTCAAAATCTTCGATCCAAATCTTTCAAGGGGTTGGGGAAGTCTCTGTAGCTCCTTGACTCCCTGTTCAGTAGAGAATCATGGAGAATGCGGGACACCCCCAGCGACCCTCAGTCGCCGCCGCTCCGAATCGCCCCCGCACGGAATCGTGGGTCCATGGCTTCGACCGAAGTTCCCTGTCTGACACGGGATGTGAGCAGTTGAAACCTTCATCCTCCTTCCCCATCCATTCGAGATTTCAAATCTGATCATCAAGTACACAATCAATCCAGTTATATAGAAGCTGCTATGCTGTCTTCCAGCCCCCAAATCCATCCCCATCCATCCATGACGACCCAAATGGCTCTTCGAGCCTCCACCGACCCGGTCGACCCGAGCAACGCCTCGGTGTCGGCGGTGCGGCTCGGTGACAGCAGCCGAGGCGGGCTCTCGCCCTGGCCGACCCGTTGGCGCCGGTCAGGTCATGGCGTCTTCCGACGAAAGAAGTTCCGAAGCAAAGAGACAGCACCCGTTGCCACGTTGCCATGAACACAGAAAAACGCGTGACATCACGTGCAAATTGAAGCACACGTTTTGACACCTGCACCATACTTGCACCGTGGTTTTCAGGGGTGGCCATGCAGCCTCTGCGCTTGATGCAATGCGTGGTTCTTCCCACCACTTGGACGACCCGAACTCGCTCGGCCCGCCCAACCGTTCCTACTATACCTCGGTAGTACCCGGTTCCCAACACTCGAAACCGGTTGTGAGGGATGACCACGTCCAGACCTGAACCGTTCGGAACTTGCCATCGGCTGAGAACTCACCTTAAGCTTTAAACAAGGGATCCTATATATGAGAACGGAGTCCTTCTGCTCCTGGAGTCCTGGTGAGCTGGTTTTGATGCGTTCTGACTCAATGACTAAAACAAAACATCTGGCTCACCAGGCTTCACCGAACTTGACCAACCTGAACAGAACCGTGAGGACAAAACCTCCCGAAATCCCCATCAAGGCTGGCGGCAAAACCACTTGACCTATACGAGGTCCATGGACCCTCCAAGCGAACATGACCTGGGTTGAGCGTTTTTCGCATCATGCTCCATGGATGGCATGATTGTCTTTGGGGGGTATGTCATAGGGAGAGTAGATTCCAGGAGTTCTGCGCGACATGGGGTATCCCTTCCATACAATCCACCAACCAAAGCAGTAGGTTAGGCCATCTAATGTAGACTCTAGGCAAGAGACCCCAAACAGTGTCTGTGAGGTCGGTGTAGCAGCAGAAAGTCTAGAGATCTAGACGCATTGGGGTCCAGAGAGGTGATGCTGGTGATGAAGGCGGGGACTGCGGTGATGGCGGCGGTGGTGCTGAGTGAGGGGGTGTGAGTCAGAGTGAGAGTGAGAGAGTGAGAGTGAGAGAGCGAGAGCGAGAGCGAGAGGGTGGGTGAGTGCATGGGTGAGTGGGTGGGTGAGTGGGTGGGTGAGTGCGTGAGCAAGTGGATGACATGATCGGCACTAGCAGGAGTGCAAACACCGAAGCAGCAGAGCTGACACAACATGTGCTCGCCGGCAACATCACATTTCTCTGCCATGACAACACACATATCTGTGGGTCCTTGAATTTCAGGGCACCAGAAGCAGAGTTATCCAGAGCACCAGTCATCCAAACATCACCGTAGTAATGCACCAAGCTGTCACGATGACGAATGGGAAACTTTGACCTTGGAGATCAGGCTGGCAGCTTTGCAGCCCCCGGGTGGAACACCATGGTCTTTGCTCTTGAACATGTCCTGAATGTGCTGCGGCACGCACGTCGCCCGCTGGGGGCGCACAGCACTTCTTCCACTGAGGCGTCCGCCCCATGCGTCAGTCGGGGCATCATAAATTTCCTGTTCCTTCAAGCAACACTGCGACCACTGGTTCTTGTTTTTTCCAGCGTTAACTTGAACTTGAGAACGAGACCTTCGTCGTCCACTGCGCAAACCAACTTGAAAGCACCGAGGCCACAACGCACGGCACGCTTGTGATGCATATCCCAGCGATGGCCATCTTTATCCTCGAGCAGCAGTGAGACGTGGCTTGCATGCGTGTGAACAGGCCTTTGCTGCGCTTGCCTGCATCCATTTGGCCGCATGTGTCCCGGTGCGGCGCAAGCGATAGGCAGAGCGCTGCGAGACGTCGGCCATGGAGAGGCAACCCTGTGGTTTATGCACGTCACTGCCTTGTGCACAAACGCAGTGACAGCGTAAGAGAGGAGAAAGAAACTAATGAAACAAATGCCTATCTACAGGTGGCCAGATGTGGCACAGCATTATGTAGAGGAGGTAGGAAGGACAGAGGTTCACAAAGTGCTGCGCCTGCCACGAAATCTGCACTTCGAGGTTCACAAAGTTTCAATACGCTGTGCCTGCCACGAAATCTGCACGTCGAGGTGCTGGAGCTGACAATGATTTTCGAGGGACAGGTTGAGGCTGATCGTCACGTCGTGGAGGCGGAATTGGCACAACATCGATGGGGTGCGGGAAGTACTCACCCATTCTGAGCAGAGAAGCACTGTAACATTTTTCATGCAATCAAATTCCAACATGTTTTCAAGTCTGGCATGACTGGTTTCAATCAAAACTCAAATTGACACAGCATTTATCCAAAAGGTTGAAGACCTTGACAGCATGACCCAGCAGGCCACCCAGTGAACGAGTCGCCCTCCACTGGGCGCCGTTCGCCTCCATGATCTTGCCAAGCTTGGTCAGTCTGAGTCAGATCGAGGTTACCACGCATGACAAAATCTGAGTCAGATATGCCTGTATTCATCCAGTGCCCTTTGTGCAACGATCCTCCAATCAGCATCTCGGTCTTGCTTTGCTGATGGGATATAGAGCAGCGGAGTGACACCAATGACCTTAAACATTCGAGTCACAGCCAGGCCGGAGAAGCCAAAGAGGCTATCTCAAACTTCAGTCAATGCCAAATGATGCCGAAGGTCTCGAACTAACTTTGTCTTTCAAGTGACGAAGAGCACAACCCAGACCATCATGCCCATGCTCGCGGTCTTGGCGAAGCCATCCTGGCAGTTCATCAGCACACCTGGCACCGGAGTGTTGAAATTCCTTTTCAGCGTCTTGACGAAGTTCGGGTGCTTCATATAATCTGAGATGCATGATGCTGGATGCAATGTACTAATTTCTGTTTAAAGTCACTGTGCTTCAATGCAGTCGCCAATGAGGACTCAACCAAACAGCCGAGCAGCGCTCTCCATGGTGTCTAGATCCGAGCCGCTCTCCTTCAGGTTCACAAAGTGATGTGCCTACCACGAAATCTGCACATGGAGGTTCACAAAGTGCTGCGCCTGCCACGAAATCTGCACTTCAAGGTCCACAAAGTACCGCACCTGCCACGAAGCCTGCAAACGAGCTACATGTCCAAAAGTCACGATTCACTGCACTTGTCAGGAAATCAGAGCGTGCCGAAGATCACCACCATGTCCAAAGTGCTGCACCTGCCACGACATCTGCACTTCGAAGTAAAGCCGCTCCAATCCCTTGCGCCCGTCAGGAAAGGTCGACTTTGCACCACCAAAACACGAAGGTTCCCTTGCGCCTGCCACGGAAAGCCATCATGTCCGAAAATGCGCACGGCACCACAACGAGAGCGCAGTCCCGACAAGCACCCACCGCGCCGGCGCAGATTTTGCGAGCCTGCGCAGTCGAAATGCACTTCGACGATTTTGAGAGGCACATGAATGTATTGTAAATAGCAGCGAATTAGCCGGACACGCCCGTGCAACACCTCGATTAGACACCGGTGCTCAACCATTAGTCCTAGTGTGTCCACACTGTTTGAGGAAACAAAAAAGGAGTATCAAACATATATATATATATATATGAGGTTTTATTTGGTTTCATCATGTCTTATAAATTAAAAGAGTCTATTATAGTCATGACATGATCCATTTCCCACAAACCCCAGAATCCATCGGGACCTCCGCCTGCGGCACCACTTGGGAGAAGTCTGAGGCGCGACGAGCATCTGGGCGGTGAAGGAAGGCGCGAGGAGTGGGAGCCGCTGGAGATAGATCGACAGGAAACTTAGTAAGATCAGATTCCTGGCCCACCGAACTCTGAAAATCTCTCAGACTGTCGAGCGATGTCACATGTCACATGTCGACAGCGATGTTATTGTTTAACTCTGGCCCAAAAATCACCACCCATGCCCACTTCTTTAGGGTCTGCTGTAACGATTGGCAAGATTACTGCAACAGGGTCGCGCTAGTCCAACGCTCACGGTGGCAAGTTCGTGGCTTTGGCTTTGGTGAAGGAACCGATGAAGAGGAGCTTCACGACTATCTTTAAAGTTACAAACATCATACACCAGCACTCCAGCAGCACAGGAGTGTGATACACTTACTTGGGGTACAAAGCACCTGACCCAAGCACCGGGGTGGTCGACCCCCAAGTGAGTGGATGATGCGCAGAAAAGCGCATCATAACATTCAAGAGAGCCTTGGAACAGCCCGGTAGTGTAGACTCTTGATATCTCTTGATTCATCACCTCCCCCAATTGAATCAAACACCCTCTTCATTCATAAGGGGGGGTTATATATATATATATATATATTGAGAACTCCCGCGTCTTTTTGGATCTGTGTGGATCACCCTCCCCCCCACGGATGTCTTAGCCGTGGATGGATATTGCGGCCGACACCACGCTGGTTCGGCAGCGCTTGCAACTGGACAAAGTCTCACCCCCTGAGACCTTCCGTTTGAGGTGTCGACCATCTACCCCAGACGCTCCATGTCTGCCATAGGACTGCCGCCCCATTGGGGTGCTGCCAGGGGGAGTCAATGTAGGCATATATGCCGGACATGGAGTGTCTACCATCCTACCAATAGCCTCGTTTGAAAATGAGGGAGAGGTCTGTCGGGGTGTCCCGGAGGAACGGGTCCAGACTCTGAGCCTATGGCTTTAGTCTTTTGCATGTATTGCATGCATCCCCTTCCTTGGATTTGGGAACCTGGAACAAGTAACAGCTATTTCCCAGAAGGGATTTACCCATAGAGAAAATAACAAATCCCCTTATATAAGCAAAACCAGGCTTCAGTTTCCTCTTTCACCCAAAGTTCCCATGCAACATTGCTCCGAGCCGGGTGGCCTGCGTCACCTGCAGCTGGCGCAGATAGCACCGCGCCCGGCAACGGAACACCTGAGCTGCCCGGTGGATGTGGAGGGTGGAAGTGTGGCTGTGGGTGAATGTCATTGTCGTTGGCATTGTGAGTGTTGTCACAACGACAAGAGCTCATGCAGATTGTGCGGGATTGTTCCGCCAGCTCTGGAATTAAAGCTGAAGGCGAAAGTCACCACGCATGGATTTGGTGTTGCGAGGTGCATTTTCTTGCTTGTATTGCAGCGGCTTTCCCAAGCTGGTGAGCCCCAAGGCCATGTTCACAAGGTAGCCAAATCTGTTCCTAAGTGTTTCACTCCCTCCTTGCTGATGAGCTAAGTGGCTTGAAAGTTGCTGTGCTGGAGCATGATTCTTTGTGGGTGTGCGAGTATACATCAACATGAATATGGAATGAATATGGATATGTTCACATCATTGGTACCCAGTTCATTGGACTGGGACCTGAGTGGTAGACTCTAAGCCCTTTGGCCAGCCACATGACTCGCATGATGTCTTCCCAATCTGTGACCGTCTGGCGAGCAATAGCTCAAGATCACTCCGGCGCAACGTTCGACCAATTCCGTCGCAACGAAATCACCGCGACTGGGCGGTCTCAGCGGTAAACGCAACGCCTCCCACCAGGCCCCTCATTACATCGTAACAGGTACTGGGGAATATGGGAATCAACACTAGAAGCTACCCGGAACAAAGGGCATCACTACTAGGAGCAAGAAGCTACAAGTAGCTCCTGGCCATACTACTATACGGAACAAGAAGCTACTAGGGTGGAGGCCATCGCTATTAGGTTGGAGGCCAATACTACTAGTAGCAAGGACGCTACTAGTAGCTTCTGGCTCCAAGTGGCTCTAGTGGACCCCCAAAAAGGCTCACCACTCCGACGCCCCCATCGACGTCGAACCGCGTCGACGTGGACGGAGATTCTGCCGCCCTTCACGGAGATTCCGACGCCGGTAAATCCGGTCCAAAGGGCTCCAAGGTCTGGGACTGGCATCTTCCTGCGGCGGAAATGAAGAAAAACCCAGCCTTTTCCATCCAATCAGCACCATGACCATCGGTGCTGGCCCTTTTTCAAGCATCGTGTCAAGCCCACACAGGATACACAGGTCAAAAGTTCGTGTCAAGGTACAGGGAGTGCCCACGGCCGGTCTTTCGAGGCGAGTTTGGAAGGAAGAAAACGCCGTCCTTGGCCCTTGGGAAGGAAGTTCGGTCCATTGTTCTCCTCGAACCCAGGAGTTCCATCGAGTGGTTTTAAAGACCCATGCGGTGGATGTGGATGTGATGCTGGGAGCGCCCCTGTTTCCTCAATTCATCACCCAAACTTACGGAACTGCTAGACTTTGTCACGTCCAAGTCTTCTATATCCCCCTCTGCCCTGCCCATTCTCTCTCATGCACCGCAGTAAACCCCTCGTCCCGACCCCCCGAAAAAAACCGACCCACCGACGGCACGTGCGAACCCACGTTCGCGCGCGCGCGCGCGCGCGCACGTCATCGGCGCGACGTCAGCGCAGCGGCGACGTCGGCGTGGCGCACCTCCTCCCCTTCCTCGTCTGACTTCAGGGCTCTGGGCGTGTGCTCCGCGGAGGGGCTCTGGTCCACCGAGATGCTCTTCGCCACGCCTCCCTCGTCGAAGCCTGGGGCGACGCCGAGTCCTTGTAAGTTTCACCCCAAGGGGATGTTGGAGGAGATCGCCCCGAAAGTGACTGGCCAATCCAATTGACCAAACAAGGCATGAGTACCCTCCCACTCACTAACATAGAAGTGGAAAAGTCCCTGTTTGTAAATGGTCTTTCCAGAGGCCATTGTCCGCTTCCATGTTAGTTCCAGGGTAGAGTAGCAAACAACAAACAATGACACAAACAACCACAACACCAAGCGTAAGCACAAGTTTTGCCAGTGGCCAAACATGACAAGCAGGTCGCCTTACCGGTCACCCGACCTGGAAGGCTTAGGTAAAGTCATTTTGCGGAGTGAATGCTGCATGCTGAGGTACCGAAATAGGATGGTGCGATGCAAGGTGATCATGATGTTCTTGCGGGTTGACTACCTGGTATTATGAAAACCCGAGTTTCTGCAAGTCCTGTTGATGCCCAAAAGTACATGCCACAACATACCCACAGCCATGGAAGGCCCTCATGCCCTTAGCAGAATGCCTCTCGCACTTGACCACCCAAAGAGTGTATGACTGTGAAAGGCATCGCAACACTCAATGGCCCAGATCTCTCAAATAGAGATCACAAACTGTTTCTTAAAGAAAAAACATCTGGAAGGGTTCTGAATGAATCCTGGTGCAGTTTGCATCACATGAAATCGATACTGCAGGAACTAACTACAGGCGTATGCATCCGCATAAAGTACAACTTACCGACATCCTGGATGAAACGCACCCAGGTGATGTGATGCAACTGGTCGGTGATTTCACTGACTTATACAAGTATAAGGATTGCCTGCCTTGGATGTGCCCCTTCTTGCCCCCAAACACAGTGCAAGATGGTAAATGTCATGAGAGAACTTCAAGGTTTTCGCACAAGGCTCACATCAAAACCAAGTTCACTGACTTGTGTGCAAAAAAGTCAAGAATCCGCATCTTCCGATGAACACCTTCCAGACTGTGCCTGCTGTGTAGCCCAAACAACTGGCTGCCTATATCCTTTCATTATATTGCCTTGGGCCCGCCCACGTAGTCACGGCTCTCGCAGGGATTCTGGCGAGGGACTTACTCGGCTGCCCAAACGGCTAGGTCCTGGACACGGGGGGTGAAATGACCCGAAGCAACGTGGTAGCAGTTTGTTCGGGGCCGAACGGGTCGCCTCAGAACTATTTCTATCCCCTTTTGGAACTGAGTGGGGTGGACACGACCTCCATTAACAAAAGACATCGAATCAGAATCAGAATCAGAATGCATGATTGAAGAGCTCTGCAGCATGTATATGTTTGGAGCATCAATGGAGCCCATAGGTGTCGTCTTCCAAAAAGTGGTCTCTTTCTGTCTCATCCAGGTAGCTGACGAGGCAATGGAGCTCCGTGTCGACAGTCGTTTGACACAGTGAATCGGTGCCTATCAGATAGTCGACTCACTGGAAAGCCCTAATTAGTAAGTCTTAACCAGGTGATTCTAAAGATGATCCAATCCTACAAGGAACCACAAAATGGGATGAAATGGATGGAATCACACAGGGTGTCCATCCAAAAAGACGGACACAACCTCCAACTACCCAACATCCTGCCACATCCTGCAACCACAACATCTGTACTGACCTAATGACGTTGTTCCTCTCGATGTTCTAGAGGAAATTGGAAAGGGATTCTAAGTGCACCTCTCATGGCTTTGCAGGTTCTTTGCAGGTTGATTCTAGGTCCTACGGAACATCATCTTGAGCAATGCAGAATTGGAACCACCAAGCATGGGGTCAATGCATTCACGTTTGCAGAAGTTGAATCTACTTGGACCTGCAAAGGGGTGCCCTGTCTGGAGATCCACAAGTAGTGTAGGGTAGTCTGTTGGAGACCCCCTTGAAGGTGCTGGTGCTCAAAACTTGGAAGATGTTTTGTAGTAACTGCAGGCAAGTGTGATCGGTAGTAGCAATGAACCAATCCCGCTTTGCATGACGTCCATCCATGGCGGCAGGGGCACATCCGACAAACCCTTTCCTTGGTTGAAAATGATTCTCCCCTGGTCTACAAGGGGGTGACCTGAGCTTCTGTGGACATGTTTGTGCAGGCGAGCTGCCTAGCTGCCCCCTCCGACCCAACTTGAGGGTGTCAAACATCCACTGGGAAATTCACCACCCCCGCCGTCCCCCAAAATTGGCCTGGGGGGGCGGGCTTCTGGGGGCTGGCTGGGCTTCCAGGAGCTTCTGCAGCTTCCGAGAACCAGTTCCTGCCTGCGATGAGGTGGGCGATGTGCAGCTTCGGTGGAGTCTGCGGTGGCGCCTAGCAGTGCGGCCGCAGACTGAGGCCAAGGGTGAAACTTCGAACGGAACGGAACTCAAGAATCGAGGGGGCGATGTCAGGTACCATAAGACCGAACTTGGTCTCCCTAGATTTTAAAAGCAATATACTAGGTACAAATCACGGAGTTGAGGCATCAAGTAACATTTCCGGAATATAGCAGGCGTCATCCGAAGGCCCGTAGGTAGTATATTATATTGAAAGGCCAGCTATGACTCAACAATGGAGCAGCAGAGTTGAACGCTTGGGGATCACCGCTGGTCGTCACCATAATAACCCACGTCTTCAGCAAGTGAGTTATACGGTTATACCCCAGACACTCCATGTGTGGCATAGGACTGCCGCCCCATTGACCCCGTTTCAACCATCCCAATGGGGCGGCAGTCCTAAGGCAGTCCCATCAGTCGTGTCTGGGTACTGAAACATCTATGTTGAAGCATGTTGAAACCATCTCTTACCACCTCACGGCTACTTTCCCCCCCGGATTCCCCCCTGTCGGTGTCAACCCTGCAGCCTCCATGGAGGCCGAAGCCGAGGCTTTCGGTCCTGACCAAGGGGAAGAGTCAGAAGTGTCGTGATCCAGGAAGGGTGACGTCCTTGGCAGAGTCCCCAATCAGCATGAGTTAGGTCACACACAGAGACACGAACATAGTTACTTAGGTCACGAACTCTTCTGGTCCTCGGTCTTCTAGTTAAGGGTTTAGTGTGTCCCCAAATATCCCACTCCAAAAGAGGGGGACCCGGGGACGCTACATGGTGATCCACTTACTCCCTGGGCTTTCGGATTCCAGGCCTCAGCAGGCACTGACTCCGTCGTCGCTTCGATCCGTGGGAAAGTAAAGGTGACCAGCGAACGATCACCCAGTTCGTTTTTTGTGGCATGTACCGTGTCCCAATATCCCCCCAAAAAGGTTCAGTTGGGGGGGTAATCTACTTTTTCTGGGTGACGGTGAGAGTATGCACTTTAGGAGATTCCCATTAACTTTGCAAAGGCTTCCAAAAACACCAACCCACCCAATCCAACTATATACTTTGAAAACAAACTCAGTTCATCTTTGCATCGTATCATCTCTGTACCTGGTTCTACAAAGTGACCAATTGAAAGTCCCCGGATATGGTCACATAGTAGGCCTGCCTGTGCACGGTCACGAATGGGAAAATGTCCAAGTTCGGTCACGAAGAGGCGTCTTCCAAGTCCATTCAGGTCCAATGGACGAATAACCCACCAATAACCCACCCAACTCCATGCAACTCCACTCCAGGTCTATATCTGTTCATCACATCCGGATCCGGATACATCATCTCTACGGATCCGACTTTTCAAGACGCAAAAAAAAACCGGCCGGCGTATGAAAAAACGGGCGTTCCGTGTCCGTGGTCTGTGGTGGAGGGTCAACTGAAATCAGCATCCGATTCACGGATGGCCTGTTTATACTTGTTTTTGTTTGTGATTGCTTTTTTGTTTCCTGCAGTCGGGGATGGCCTGTTTCTGGGTTTTGTGTCTTTCTTGTGTGTGGTGACCGGTGCACCCCATGGGCCTTTACTCCAAGGCCGGTGAACCACGCGTTGATGTTCTGTTTCCTGGTCGCATCACTGACCCACTGACCAGTCTGAAGAATCTCAAGCACTGACCCACCCAGTGCAATGGGTGGAAAAGCACTTCCAACGGCGATGGACATGGAGAACAGCTCTATGGAGAATATTGAGGCATGAATTCATGAGTGCAGCTATCACAACAATATAAATGCCTTTCCCAGCGGTCAGAAAGGGGTCCCATTATCCACTCACTTAGGGACCAAAAACTACCCCTTGGTGACCCCTGGTCCAGGATGTTCAGAGACAAAAGCCAACAGTCTCAACACCCTGGAGCGAACTGGCCTGGTGGAAGGTGCTCATGTTGCTACAACCCATAAATCCCGCTGCTTGAGCCTCGACCCCCCACCCACCCAAAAACGCGATCAACACTGCACCATTCCCGGCCTGCGTTTCGCGCGACCCCAAATACCTCTTCCCGTAGGGTCCGGGCGCGGTTGAACAAAGGTTTACTTCGAGAATGGTCGAGCTCGGGCCTTGCAGGACATCCGATTCGGAATGGTCTTGCACCCGTAATGCAAACTCTTGATTCACCTTTAAGCCCCCATAAGCCCTCTTTTTATTATGAAATCAGTAGAGGTTTTATCACTCCAAAAGGTCGGGGCTGATTCAATCTGTCTTCCAAAACCCTCCAAACACCACCGACCTCCGACCCCACACGCACCGAAACCGAAACCGACACCGACCCAACCGCCGGGCCCGAACCGCACCTGGCAGAAGCTCTTCGAGCTCCTTCGTCAAACGCGTGTTGGCCTTCCGAGCGGGTCCAGAGTGTCAGACTCAAGAGCGTTCGTGGTGCCACACTAGTGTCACATACTCACACACTTGGTCTTGGGGTCTAAGAACCTGATAGAGCCCACGAACCCGAATGCAGTCACTCATGTATAGAGGAGAATGCAAAGGCACAAAAGTGTATCAATCAAAACCTCTTCCTAGACACTCTTTCTTGACACTCTTGGCTAGACACTCTTGCTTGACACTCTTGCTGGGAACTCTTTGCTAGACACTCTTGCTGGACACTCTTGCCAGGACACTCTGCTAGACACTCTTGCTGGACAATCTTGAAATGACATTCTGCTAGACACTCTTGCTAGACATTTTTGCTTGACACTCTTCGTGGACACTCTTTCCTAGACACTCTTTCTGGACACCCTTTCTTGACACTCTTGCTGGACAGTCTTGCTTGGCACTTTTGCTGGACACTCTTTGCTGGACACTCTGGACACGACACTCTTGCTAGACACTCTGTCTTGACACACTTTGCTAGACAATCTTTCTTGACACTTTCTCTTGACACTCTTGCTGGGCACTCTTGCTTGACACTCTTGCTTGACACTTTTGCTGGATACTTTTACAGCACACTCTTGCTTGACATTTTTGCTTGACACTCTTGCTGGACACTCTTGCTTGACACTCTTTCACCAGACTTTCACCAGAAGCGACAATCAAAGCTTCCAAAAACGAGCATTTTCCACGAGACTTTCTCTTGCTAAACAGTCTTGCTTGAAACTCTTTCTTGACACTCTTTGCTAGACAATCTTTCTTGACACTTGTTCTTGAC